TGCAGGAGGTGATGAGAAAGTCACATGATGAACCAAAGCCCATCACAAGCAGCTGTTAAATACTAACATATATAGAAGGAGCACAGCGTCATTCACACAAACACTAAACACCATCACGGTAACACACATGAAACTGAAATAATGCAATAAACAATCATTTAACAACATTAGGTGTAACACACAACCCTAATATACAAAACTGATAAGAAAACACTAAGAAGAAACAGTTATTTCAACAAAAAAACATCAAATTTGTAATGTAACACAGGGAATTCTGGGAATGTCAATTTACAGTTATTCACTGTAAATTATACGGTCTTTTTCACTTCCAAAAACGGTATACTACCGTAAAATTAATGTCCAATACAGTTTTTCACTGTATATGGTAGAGGAATTTAACGTTAACCATTTAACAGGTTTTTACTGTAACATTTTTACAGTCTTTTACCGTTAAATTCACGGTCATTTTTTACAGTGTAGAGAATACACATCTTTAATTAAAAATAAGTCTAGTATATCGCTTTTAAATGGCATCAGTATATGTGTGTGATCTGTGAGGAAATAACCGGTATTAGAGCAAATCAGCCGTGTTGTGACAGCAGTGAATACTGGTAAGGGTCTTTGTTATACCAACAACCCAGAATTGCCTCAAAATAAACTCAAAACTTACTTGGCTACCTGCTTAAACCTGCTTTTTGGGTCATTTTTGAAAATAAACATTTCAAATGATGAGAAATGGTGAAATCTAAAAATGAAACATTTTCAATTACAATTCAGTGCAATCATTTATCATTTATAACTGCATTTTGTTTGTTGCTTTTATAATTAAAGGGATAGTTATAATAATTGTTAATTCCTGTTAATTTACTCACCCTCAGGCCCTCCAAAATGTAGGTGATTTTTTCTTCTTCAGTACAGTAAAGAAGTTTTTTGGCTGAAAACATGGTCCTCTTTTATACCATCACTTTGAGAGTCAAAAAAAGCATATCAGGCAACACAACATTTATACCCGTGGTTCCTGACGATTTATTGAGGTTTTATGAAGCGAAATAATCAGTTTGTGCAAGAAACTGAACATTATTTACAACATTATACCTGTAATCCAGAGCCTCAGGCAAACAGGGAAGTTCTGATTCTTTTCTGCGAATTGGTTCTTTCGGACAGTGCGTTTCAATGAACTGATTCACCAGTTTGTTTACATAATCACACAATGATGTAACGAATACCAATTATATTACTAAAAGCACACAATAATGACGAGAAACATGGATGTTTTGCATGTCTTAAGCATATAAAGTGAATAAACTAGTCTTCATCAGCTCACCGTTTTACATAAACAGTGAGAAACCATAAAATCTTTAATTTCACCCCTTCGTTCAAGTGTTTGGTTCACGCATGCGCATATCAGCGGCTCTTCGGTCCGAGTCGAACTGTTTCATTCTGTTTCACTCCGTTTCATTCATTTGGCTCATTTCGAGTCGAAGTGACTGTCAGGCTGTGAGTTTTGATTGAGTAACTTGTAGATCTGTGCTTCTCAAGCTGATTCAATGAAATGATTCAACTAGTTCACCAGAAAGAACCGGTTCGAAAGAATGATTCGTTTGCGAACCAGACCAGAATTTATTTATACTCTCTTGCTTGCTTGTTCTTTAGCTCTGAAATCTTTAGCTCTTTTGTAATCAGAGAAGTGTTTTGCATGCTGACTGGAGTAAAGTTCAGTGGTTATGCTGAGACTGTGTTCTTCAGAGCTGCATCAACAGCTGTTTATCTGTGACCTTTGACCCCGACCACCACATCTAGCAGGCCCTGTGGTTTTTCTATTACTCTCTCCCTTTTCTCTCTTCAGACACAGATGCACTGTTAAAACACTATAAATCTGCTTACAGATGCCAACAGCTTCACTTATCAGTCCATGCATTCCCTGGGAATCAGGCTCGTGGCCACAGCATTACTAGCGCCATTCTCTGCTGTTTGACACTGATGAAAAAAACAACAATCTGTAACCCTCATGCCATTCCATGACACAGAAAGCCAGTGGTCCTGGCATGGAATGCATTTGAATATGTGACCTAATGTCAGGAAGCCATGAGTGCATCATGTGACAGAGGGAAGGTCACTGGCTCAAACAGACAAACAAGCCTGATCCCTCACGGCACCCTCTGCTGGTCGTCATTAGGATTCTCAGCCACAGACTCCATCAAGTTCAAACACAGACAGCTCTTGATATATCATCATGGCTTGGATTAGGGTTATTTGTAGCCATTAGTTTCATTAAAACAAATGAAATATATCGTATGTCCTCATTTAGCTAGTTAAGAGTGTGTGCGTGCACGAGGGATCTGGATCAGATGGGTTAAGAAGCTCAAGGTTCTCTCTCTCTCTCTCTCTCTCTCTCTGGCTTTGTTCCAAAACCTAGTAAGCAGCCTTCATAGGCAGCATTTTAAGGGAGGATAGACGTGAAGGTTTTTTAAAAGCAAGAGAAAAGAGGTTCATTTAAGGAGGTACAGTTTAAGTTGAGATGTTGTGATTTTTATATGTTTTTAGTGAAGTCTTGCTGTTTAGTGAAGTTCTGCTCACCAAGACTTATTTGACCAAAAATACTATAAAACAGTAATACTGTGAAATATTATTACAATTTATAATAACTGTATATTTAAAAATGATTTTGCACACACACAGTACTCGCAAATTTGTGGTTCTTCCTGTCAGTTTATTCGTCTCCGACCACTGATTCAGTGATTTCATATCTCATATGGTTGCATTGCTTACTGATTGTTATTTCTGGTGCTTTATTGGTTAATCATTTATTAATTTAGCAGACACTTTTATCGAAAACAACTTGAGAAGTATTGCTTTTCCCCCGCCAGTGAAAAGCACTCATGGTGTACATATTTACTCATTGCTATTTACACATTTACACATTTCCAAGAGTGATGTTTCATCAGTAAGCTTCCTTCACTCTCAATAAAACACAATTTGTGACCACACTTTTACATGTTTATAAATTGACATGATGATACACTGCTCATTGATGCACAAACCTGCCATTTATTCTGCCACATAAACATGCTGTGTGGCTATAATTGTGTTTACAAGCAATTATTAGTTTATTTCATATTTTGTCTTTTGTGTGTGTGTGTGTGTGTGCATGTAATTTAGCGATTAAGCCATAAACCTTTATTTTATTTTCACAAAATGTTATTGAAGTCCTTCACTGGGATTAAAAATTATGACAATTACAGGTTTGTGTGTGTGTGTTTGTGTGTGTTTTCAGTTTTTTTCACTGAAAGTGGTAGTTGAGGCTCACTCAATGAAACCATTAACTCATCTACCAAATCCTCTTACCAAATCTGCGAAACCACAAGCGCATTATCTGCTTTACTCGCTCTGCAAAAGCAAAACAAACTATTTGCAAAACACTAACATTAGACAAAATATTCATGGCTCCGTACATTCATATCTTTCAGTTTTCTCTAGTGTGTAACCCAGGAAAGCAGTTTGATGAACACATATTATTATCAAAATGACAACGAAAGATTGACATGTCCTTTAAATGTTGGAAGACGCCGTTTTCTTGTCTAGTTGCTTGTTGGGAATATTATGGATACTTGATGTACTAAAATAACTAAAAACGGAAATTGGTTTAAAAAATGTAAAAAAAAAAAAAAAAAAACTACTAAAAGTGACAAAAAACATAAAAATAAAAAATGGAATTAAAATGAAAATGAGAAGTATTGCTTTTCCCCCGCCAGTGAAAAGCACTCATGGTGTACATATTTACTCATTGCTATTTACACATTTACACATTTCCAAGAGTGATGTTTCATCAGTAAGCTTCCTTCACTCTCAATAAAACACAATTTGTGACCACACTTTTACATGTTTATAAATTGACATGATGATAAACTGCTCATTGATGCACAAACCTGCCATTTATTCTGCCACAATAAACATGCTGTGTGGCTATAATTGTGTTTACAAGCAATTATTAGTTTATTTCATATTTTGTCTTTTGTGTGTGTGTGTGCGTGTGTCATTTAGCGATTAAGCCATAAACCTTTATTTTATTTTCACAAAATGTTATTGAAGTCCTTCACTGGGGTTAAAAATTATGACAATTACAGGTTTGTGTGTGTGTGTGTTTTCAGTTTTTTCACTGAAAGTGGTAGTTGAGGCTCACTCAATGAAACCATTAACTCATCTACCAAATCCTCTTACCAAATCTGCGAAACCACAAGCGCATTATCTGCTTTACTCACTCTGCAAAAGCAAAACAAACTATTTGCAAAACACTAACATTAGACAAAATATTCATGGCTCCGTACATTCATATCTTTCAGCGTAAAGTTTATGGAAAAGTATATAGGTATTAGCGGCAACTTTCATTTTTATTGTTAATACTTTGCACCAGTTTCCAATGAAGTGAAAGTTTTGTTCTCTTGAACGAAACAGTGTTTTATTCGCAAATGTTTTACGCAATGTTGCAACTTTTACGCAATGTCGCAACAGTTAAATATGCAACTTTTATGGAAACATACCTAATATGGCTCAAACTTTCTTCAAAATCTCGAATAATGTCATGTTATGGTGAAATATGGCATTTGCAATGTGCCTTGAAGGGATAGTTCACCTAAAAATGACAATTCTGTCATCATTTACTTGTTCCAAACCTTTCTTTATTCTGTTGAACACAAAAGAAGATATTTTGAAGAATGTTGGTGACCATTGACTTTCCATTCCTCACCATTGGTACCATTGGTTTTTTATTTTTCCCCATACTATGAAAGTCAATGGCTAGCATCAAAAGAAAAAGTGAATAAATAAATAATTGTGTAAGTTGCTTTGTTTCATTGTTTTAGTTCTTTATTTAGAAGCTAACTTTCAGTGATAATGCTCTGTTTTTCTGCTAAGTGTTTAGCCCAGAACAGATTAGATTAGTCTCTGTAGTTTGATATGATGTTATCATAATATAGTAAAGTATATCTGTTTTCATTCATCAGGATTTTTCCGGAGTCTCTGCGCTGGCTGCTTGCGACGCAGCAGTACAATCGCTCCAAATGGATCATGGAGCGCGTCGCCAAGAAGAACAACATCAACCTAGAGGAGGACGCAGAGGAGCTCATGACAGGTATACAAGCAAAGAGAAAACAAACACTGGACTTTTATAAGCTTTATAAGTCAATTAGGGTTAGAACTACTGATCCCAACAGCTGACAGCTTTAATATAATAACCATATGTTTTAGATCAGATATACATTTGAAAGATGCATGCTGCAAAATAGCTGAACAATGGCAAAATGGCTAAAAACTTAATTTACCAGTCAGAGAAAACAATCACAACCAACCTCGCATTAAAAAATCTATCTATTTCTAGATTTAGACACTGCAATGCAAACTAGTTTTTGACATCCTCAAAATACAAACTGTTGGCGCTTCAGATTCTATGGGCAACAAAGTGCGGCGTCATTCAGCTCATGTTTTAATTTACTAAATAATTCCGAAATGTTTTAGGGCTTTCAAAGAAAGCTATTCTATGTCTTATTTTCCCAAAATGGGACAGTGAATAAATGGTCTTGATGCAATAAACAGCAATTTCTATACATAACTTCATTGCTTCTCTTACTGGAGAAAAATAAGTTGCTCAGTTGCCCGTGTGGTTAATCCGCACAAATGAGTGCAAACCTCATTTTTAAAATCAGTATATAATAAGAGCAAAATTGCCTGCGATTCAAAATTCTCAGTAGGGCTGTCAAAATGACTGAAAAACTAAATTTGAATTTTCTACTTAAAAATTATCAAAATTCTAATTATATTCGAATTTAAAAGGCATAATTTCAGTTGGCTTCTCTTCTGAGGCCACAAGAGGGCGCATCGAGCTAAATATTATGCACATTTCTTTAAAGCGTAATAAAATAACATGACTATCTTTAAAAAAAAAGTGCATAATGTTTAAAATAATGTTTATAAAACATATATAATTAATAAAGTTGCTTAAACAATTAGGGGAAAAAAACAGCACCATGCATGCATGAATAGTTTAATACAAAGGGCCGAAAACCAATCACAAATAGTAGGCTACTTACTTCATTTAAAAACATGAGATACAGTGGGATGGGGAAAAACTGCCATAACGTCTTTAGACATGTTTTTTAAAATTTGAATTTGCATTAATTTTATATGGCTTTCTAAGCATGCCGCTCTCTTGTGCGAGACGCGCGTGCAATGCTGATAGATGTCCCTCTAGAAAATGTGATAAATATGCGTTCTGTGTGAATGGCTTGGTTTCAGTTTTGACGTAAACAACATCTTATCCACACTGATGCTCTCGTTTCCCGCAGTATATGAATGAACAACGTAGCAGCGCCGCATCTAGTGGCTTCAACTAGAAAGGCTAACAAAAGCATTCAAATGCAATCAATGACACCTACATCGTCATGCATCTCGTGCGCCACTGATAAGGCTGCCTGACGGCTGACACAGACCTAAAATTCGAATGCAATGTTTTTGCATTTGAATGTGGATTTTTTTTTTTTTTTTTTTAATTCGACGAATTTTTTTTTGACAGCCCTAATTCTCAGTGAAATGCGCCGGCTGCACAACTGTTCAAAATGTAGGCCTGTTCCCTGTTTTTCATAATGCATTTAAATGTCCAAGTGATTCACCATTATTTATACTCTTCCTCATGTTGTTCAACACTGATATGACTTTATTCTGTGGAATACAAAACCGGTTTAGCTAATCCCGTATCCTGCATTTACAAGACCTGAGTCACCGTCAGACGGAGGCGTGCACGATCTAAAGTCAATAGTTAGTTGTGTTCGTGGCTCTTACTGCTGGCAGTGTAAACATTTCAGGAGAAAAGTGCCCTACAAAGGCAAAACCTAGTAACTACACCTTGATTTTTGTCATCCGGCATGTGAAAGCTGCAACCATTGATTGCATTAATTGTTGCATTAATTAAGTTTGTGACTTAATTCGGTGACAACCAATTGGAGCTGAAGTCAGCATTAAATCAAAATTTACCCTATTTGTTTTCTTAATGCATGTTAATGGACTTGTTTTTATGCATTTAAATCCATGCATATGACCTCCATTATCTTTTATCAAAATGTAATTCCTGTAACGTAACTTCAATCTGCTGACGTTTTCCAGACTGTGCTACAGCTAAGCCAATTTCATTCATCACTGTATTCATTACAGTATGCAGTGCTTACTTATCTCAGTCCTATAAGCAGCAATGAATGCAACGTATTTATCTTGTTCGTCACAATATCGTAGTAAAGTCAGTCATAGTAAACTACCTTTTCATGTCTAATTTAAAGGGATGGTTCACCCAAAACGTTTATCTGCTTACCCCCAGGGCATCCAAGATGTAGGTGACTTTGTTTCTTCAGTAGAACACAAATTAAGATTTTTAACTCAAACCGTTGCAGTCTGTCAGTCATATAATGTAAGTGAATAGGAATCACTGCTTTGAGAGTCAAAAAAACATACACAAACAAAACCAAATTAAACCCTGCAGCTCGTGGCGATACATTTATGTGTAAAGACACGAAACGATCGGCCTGTGCAAGAAACTGAACAGTATTTATATTGTTTTTTACCTCTGATTCACACAATGTTCGAACTGTCCTGAGCGCGTTCGCGTCTTCTTCTTCGGCCGGTGCGTGACGCGTCTTCTTCTTCATCTTGCTTTACGGCAGATCGCAGACTTATAAGTGCATTTCCGCCACCTATCTAAAATGGACCATTGACACGCTATCTACAATCTCAGTTAGGAGTGTCAATGGTTCATTTGAGAGATAGGTGGCGGTAATGCACTTATAAGTCTGCGATCCGCCGTAAAGCAAGAAGAAGACGCGTCACGTGCCGGCTGTTGAGAACGCGCTCAGGAGGACGCGCCGCCGCTCAGGACAGTTCGAACAGTTCAGACATTGCGGTGAATCAGAGGTAAAAAAAACTATATAAATACTGTAACGTTTCTTGCACAGGCCGATCGTTTAGTGTCTTTACACATCAATGTAACGTCACGAGCCGCAGGGTTTAATTTGGTTTTGTTTGTGTATGTTTTTTTGACTCTCAAAGCCGTGATTCCCATTCACTTACATTATATGACTGACAGACTGCAACGGTTTGAGTTAAAAAATCTTTGTTTGTGTTCTACTGAAGAAACAAAGTCACCTACATCTTGGATGCCCTGGGGGTAAGCAGATAAACATCACATTTTCATTTTTGGGTGAATTATCCCTTTAAGACTGTAGAGCACACTGATGCATATCCTGTGAGATACTGGCCTGTAAAGCCATGTTAACTATGTTTGATTCATGCTTTGGTGATCATTGCTCATGATATGATGTATTATGAACAGCTGCAATTAAATTACAAAACTCAAGAATGTGGAATATGAATGTGAAGAAAACAGACTTCTTGTCAAAATGATTGAAGGCAATGTCATCCCTTTTGTTATCCCATAAACCTAAATTTTTTTTCTGTAATGTTTAATTCATTGTATTTATATAGCGCTTTACATTGTCAGGGGGTATCTCCTCAGGGGGTTTGATTAAGCTGTTTGTTTTCTGCATTGATTTCAGAGCTAAACCAAGCCCTGCCAAAGCAAGCCAAGAAGACATGCATTGTGAAGATGGTTGGCACAAGGAACCTGTGGAAGAATATAGTAGTGCTCTGCGTCAACTCGTAAATATCTTTATATTATGCATAGGATGCTTATTAATTAAAAACATTCTGCTGATTTTAAAGGGGTAGTTCACCCAAAAAATGTCAATTCTGCCATTTCCTCACCCTCATTTCCAAAACCAAAACTTAGAAAATCCAAAAAGGTCATAAAGGCGTCATGAAATGAATGATTCCTTATGAGCGGAGCTATTGAATTAAAGTCTTGTGAAGAGATTCGCTTTATTTGATAAACGGCTTTAATGACCCTTTAGGATCTTGTAAGTTTTGTTTACATGGACTTTCAGTGGAGGGACAGAAACCTCTCAGGTCTCATTAACCCTCATAATGCATTCGGGTCTGTTTTGACCTGGAAGAGACACTTACAAAAAATGTTTAAAAAAAAAAATTTTAACAAAAGAAAAATGCATAGCCTTTAGTGAGGGAAGGAAACTTTACATATACTCAGATCCTCAAAATACACATAAAAAAAAAAATAAAAAAAATGTGTTCGGGTAATTTTGGATGCCTGGGTGTAACGTTACGTGTCAGAAATACTTTCTGTAAAACTATCTATAAGTATCTCTGTAAAATGCTTTTTTTGTGTGTGTGGCTCGTGTGTAATTTGAAATTCAAAACTGTTCATTTTTTCACATTCACTCATTAATGAGACGTTGAAGTGACGCTTTGGACCAGATGTACTGAAGCTTTTATTAACAGCAATCAGCAGTTTTTAAAATAATATTTTTGTATTTATTCACAAAAAAAACAAATAAATCAGTACTAAGTAGTTATTCGTTCACAGTTCACAAAATACTACACAATTAGTACTAACCCCAATTTCAAGTGCATTGCAATGAAGTGACAAACAATAAAGGCAGAAGCTATTTGCACGCAAGGACACCACGTCCAATTATATTCATATCAATTATTTGCCCATGAAACACTCTATTCCTAATCTTAAATACTTTTAGGCACTTCTGATATAATTGCATTTTTTTATATAAAGTACAGTCTAGACTCTAGACTGTAAGCTCTCATTTATTTTGCGTTACATGTAAGGACTAAGTTATGAAGAATAGCGGATTAAAGATGCTTTTTCTGTGTTGTACATATCGTCTGTAAGCTATTATTTTTATTTGTTTTGGTTGGGAAAAGATGCCTATGATCCTTTGGTCTTAACGTTTAATTTTAAGAGGATTCTTTTGTTATGTTCTCTTGTCTTTACACAGACAGGGATCTACAGAATTCAGAGATGGGATTTTTCCATTGTATTTCTATATTTTCCGATTTGAGAAGTATGACGCGCAGTAATTGTGTAAAACCAGGGGGGCGGAAATGATGCATTTTCATATACATTTGTAATAATTTATTTCATGCATGGATAGTGTAGCGTCCAACAGCATTGCACAAGCTAGCGGTGCCATCTAGTGACTGTGTGCAGAACACCCTTAGTGTCTCGGCCAGGGTCCTCTCTACATGCGTGTGAATAAAAATCTGTGTTTGTGAGTTTATAAAGGTGATACTCACGAGTTTCGACGATAACGGGCTGTATGTTTCAGAGCGAATCGTGGCACAGTGTTCATTTACACACGAGCAGCTCATAATCCGCTGCTTCCAGTGTCCTGGCGTGGATCAGTTTGCCGTAGCTTCACACAATCTCTGTAATTTGTGCAACTGCTGTGAGTTTTGATCACATATGACATGGACCAGCTTCCCAAATTTGAGAATAGTTTATAAATCTGTTGTCAACAAAAAAAAACAGTAAGATCTCTATATAAACTATAGAACCTCTACAAATTAAGACATTTGGATTGTTATTATTGTTACTACTAAATACTTTAGTTTACATTACAATAGTTTACATTACATTACATTATCTTGTACTTTCTTAGGAACTGTAAGTACATGTAAGTACACATAATGTAAAATAAAGTGCAACCATTATTGCTATGTAGTAATACATTTCTTTATTGTTTTAATGTTTATAATTTAATCAAAATATTTAAATTATTATTATTGTTGTTGCTGTTGTTGTTATTATTAACCCAAAACAAAATAAGCAATGAAGAAGAAAAATAAATGTAAATACATTTTTAAAAAAAAGTTTAATTTGATAGTGAGCAGTATTTGGGAAAAAAGGCCTTCAAGCCTTTCTGTCAGGTTTCAAAGTATTTAATTTGACAGTTTAATTTAATTTGTGTGGGCTTGCGCAATGGACACAAAAAATAATTTAAAATAAAAACATTATAATTTTAATTAATTTTATAAAATTATGATTTTTCAAGCTATCCCCCTTTCAGCATTATTTCAATAAATATCACTACATGCAGATTTGGTGAAAACATTTTTTATGAGCTATACACCATTTTTATATTGTGCTGCTTATGTGAGGTTTCTTTTTGAGAGAAAAAAGTAGTAAATGACTCACCATGTTGTCTTTCTCACTCCCCACAGACGACTCTGGTACGCTGAACTCCAACTTTTCAATGGCTTTCTCCATCATTGGCATGTTCTCCTCCCACGCTGTCAGCAACCTTAGCATCTTTTTTTGTGCTGAAATCACCCCAACTGTGATTAGGTGAGCTAAACCACACGGACGACTTTTAAGATTATGGGAAAAAATCAAAAGGTCAAAGATCTTTCTTGTTTGAATTGTATTGTAATTTGCATCCGATTTGTAAATCTTGGTGTGGCTTAGCCTAGCGCTTATTTTCATAGTTGCTTTATGTGTATATTTTATTCCAGTTATGCCAGATGATAAAATGTGCCTAAAACCCCTTGATATTTAAAGTGCCTTTATTATGGATTATGAAAAGTTCATATTTTGGTTTTGGGAGTCCCCAACAACAGGTGGACATGCACATGCAAAAAAAACACTTTCATTGTCTTATAATATGCATTTATTTTTACCTTATTTGCTCAACGACTTTTACATTTTTCCAAAACCCTCTTTTGCGTGACGTTAATCTGCGGTGATTGGTCGATTTCATTTCCATTTCATAATAAAAGCAGCATTTGTGAGTGCGGTGCTGCTTTGTTTACCAGGGAAACAGCTATTTTACTGCTCCAAAAGCGACACCTAGTGGCAACTAATGAATTTGCATTTTCATTCAGACCAACGCGAAAATCAAGTTTTCCCAGGTCTTCACGCGCAAGTGGGCAGACAATATGCTAATGTTTCATGTTGACGTCAACATGAAACGGCTTGGGATTCGTTTTAAAAACGACTTATTTCAATGATTCAGTGTCGACTCTTTCTTTTGAGAAACAATAACTTTATACACGGTGCACTTTTAGATTTAAAACTTTGCAGGATGTTTTCATTCACTTAGAGCTGTGTTACACACTGCATGAAAAGTTATTTTTCAAAAATCCATAATAGGGGCACTTATGTTTTGAAAAATATATTTTCCTTGTTCTTTGTGTGCTGTCTAGGGGTGGCGGTCTAGGCCTTGTCCTGGCCAGTGCTGGTTTTGGCATGTTGACGGCACCCATCATGGAGCTGCATAACCAGAAAGGCTATTTTCTGCATCACATCATTTTCGCCTGCTGCACTCTTATCTGTATCATTTGCATCTTGCTGCTGCCCGAGACTCGCAATCGACCGCTTCCAGAAACGTTAGCGGATGGTGAAAGCTACACCCGACAACCGTTACTGCCACCTCGCAAACCGGGCGAGCAACGCCTTTTGCTGACCAAGTCCGAGAGCCGCGAGTACGCGAGGGTAGGCGATACGCCTCTCCACGAAGCAGCTGCCACTGCTATTTCCACTATGGACTCCACAGCCTCATCCGCCATCGATCTTCAGATGCTCATTGATGCCCCCGGCCAGGCAGAGATATTCAGTATGAAGTCATTGACTTCTACCCAAGAGCCAGCTGAAATCCAGCAAGAGTATCCCAGATCTGCATCCATGCCGGGAACCTCTGCCTCATCCGTAGAGCATCCTCTCCTTGCCTCTATCCCAAACACTTCAACCCCAATCGCTATTAATTACATTCAGACACCTAAACCAGAATCTCCAGCCGTTCTGCCACCTTCAACTGTGGAAACTCCTTTGATCACCGATCCTTCCCTGGAGTCCCCTACTTCTTCCGATCTCCAAACTCCTTCGCTTTTAGATATAGGTACACCAGCTGCTGAATTCCCCTTGACTGTTGCTAATGATTTCAACATCCTAACTGAAGTGGGCTCTGCAGGTCCCACCCAAACCTTTCCTCTCTGCGCATCCACTGGACAATCACCCACTCCGCCTTTAAACAACATTCCCCCCTCTTCCTCAATAGACTCTCCCGTTCACCTAGTCACTGAAATTCTGCCCTCTTCCCCAACAGAACTGTCTTTACCACCAATATCGGACCAGTCTGGTCAAGTTAATGCCATCCCAGTTCAATCCTTTTCTTCGCCCATAGATCCCGGCACTCCATTGTTACATTTAGTCGCCCAACCTGCGATTAACTCCATAGAATCTGGCCCCCCTTCACCAGCCGTATTGGAGCCAACCTTAAGTAATAGTACCACTCCTCTTGCCACTGTGGGTTCAGCTGCACCCCATGCCACAACCACTGACTCAGTTACAGAATCCAGCCACCCACTTATGACGAACTTGACTGTTTCCTCACCTATTGACTCAGGTACAGCTTCAGACGTTGACTTGCCCATCACAGAAACCAACACTGCCAATGGGGAGACGTCTTCATGACGGACACGTTCGCTCTGTAAGACTTGGTGGGCAGCCTTATTATCAAGAAGAAATTCTTGTCGTGGGGGCTCATGCCAGTCATTGTTAGAAGTATTTTTATTTTCCAGCAGCCATGACCCAAGAATGGCAATGCAAGGAGAAGGTATAAAAGGATTTGACTGAAAGGGAACAACCATAAGGGTCGATGCTCAAAGGGTTTTTACTCTCCATTGGTTTCAATGACTTAAAGAGGCTTCTTAGGGGACGTTCACACAGAGCGAGTTTTTCTATTCCAAAGCTCTATTTTCCATTGTTTTTCTATGTAAACACAGTTGACGGATGTGTATGACGCGTCTCGCACATGATTTTTGGTGTTATTATGGTAGGACAGTTATTAGACAGGAAGCAAAGTGTGGGAGAGAGAGGGGGATGGGATTGGGAAAGGTCCGAGAGCCAGGACTCGAACTCGGGATGCCCGAAGCGCAATGCCGCTATCTGTCGGTGTGCTGCCCACAAGGCTATTGGCGCCGACTATCGCCACGTTCTTAAGATGTGGTGTCAAAAGAATTTCAACTTTTACACACAGTGTAATTAATGTGAGTTCCAAAACATCGGACCAATCAGACGACCCTGGAGGCAGGGCAAGAGTTGCAAGCTTTTGTTGACGGTATCAAGTTGGCATGGCAATTGTTTAATTTGACAGAAAATGGTGCAGCGCAGAATCCCTCCTCCGAAATATTTCCAAGTTTTTAGATGTAAAGACGCATTCTGTGTGAACGGCCCCTTACTGTGGTGCCAGTAACTGCTTTTTGGGCCGCTAGATCCAAATTTCCATGTGTTGTTATTGAGCTTGTGTTATTAAGAACACTAAGACCAATAGTGACAAGTTCCCACTCTGGAATTTTATATAGCCTAGCAATTACTGATATCTGCTTGTTTGATGGTAATGAACAACAGGTAGGATCACATTAGTCAAATGTGATTAATTCTGAGTCATTTTCTCTCAATCATTTGACTCTTAAATTTTGCGTTATTCAGGTGGGAATACGGCATCTGTGAAGTCCAGTATCAAAGGGAATTTCTCAAAAGCCCAAACACTGTATATTTAACACTGGGAATGTTTGCCAATGTGTCTTGAAGTGGAAGGCAAATACCTCTATGAATTAGGTGTCGAAGAAACACCAGTTTCTGTGTTCAAAAGAATAAGTGCAGACATATATGCATATTTCCAAACCTGATGTAAAATAGACACTACACAGAGACTGCTCAAAATGGTATTTGTGTGGTATGTTTTATTAAGCTAATGTTTTTTAAGCTAATCACTAGATTCTGGTGGGGGGAAAATAATTTTGAGGAATACAGATGATGTACTTCATGGCTGTGTGTCTTAACCACAATACACTCAATCAAGTGTATGCAACAGACGTATTGTGAATGTGAAAACTTTTGTAATTTATGCTATTGTGGTACTGATGTACAGTGGTACTGACTGCTTAAAAAAGATTTTAGGTTACTATGTCTGTATCAATGAGTGTATGCCCATTGGTATTTTGTTACCAGTCTGTGGCACTTTATTGTTCACAGTGACAAAAAAAAAGAAGCATGTGAACATGAAAAAAATGAAACTTTCAATGAATGACGTTGACGTAATGAGTCTACAATTGTCATCTTTCATTTGTGGTACATTTATACCCACAGCAATAATATATTTATATTGTGCGACCCATGCCACGAGTTTAAAACATTTCAGATTTTTTTAAATTGTTAAAAATCAGTAAAGAATACTAATAATTCATTCTAATTTTTAATTTGCTAAAAATATCCCCTGAAATATGGTATCAGGTGGGTATGCTTATTCATAAGTCTGACTAAAACAATTCATTTCGGAACAAAATGTTCCTTTTACGTAACATTACTTTGGATAAAATGAAAAGAATGTTTTAAAATGATTGTGGCATATTCTTAATCATTCCAGCTAATATTTAGTTTCTTTTTACTTTCAATAAATAGTATTATTGCCCTGAAGTATGTCAAATTTGTAGAAAGGTTTTTGATTATTTTTGACATTTAAATGACATCTTTTGTATTTCGAGTTATTCCAAAGACGGGGCATTTTCTTCTCAAATATATACCATGGCCTTCTTCTGCTGTATCTGCTGACCTGCTTTAGCTTTTGCTACTGTTGTTACATTTGCTATATACACATTATGAGTGATGATGTGTCATTCATTTTCAAGCATGTTACATCAAAAGAAGAATCTCAAAAGCTGTATCTGCTGACCTGCTTTAGCTTTTGCTACTGTTGTTACATTTGCTATATACACATTATGAGTGATGATGAGTCATTCATTTTCAAGCATGTTACATCAAAAGAAGAATCTCAAAAGAAAAATCACACTTTTACATTTGCAGTCACAATGTGACTTGTTAGCATGATTTGGCTTTGAGATTTGTCTAAACTGTTTAAAGCAATACAAAGTCTCACATTTTGAAGGTCTTAAGTCCCAAAAGGGATTCAGCATTTAATGAAACTGATTTCCTATAGCCAAGAATTTTGGAGAAAGATAAGGCCAGAAAAATATTTAACACAAGTGTGCAAATACTGATGTGAATCTTCGGCCAGTGCATGCTTAACATGAGCTCTTTTATTGTTACTCTTAATATTAAATCAATGTTTATGAGAGCAATAGTTTTACCTTCAGTGCTTGTGCCACATTAGTTTCAAGATATTCAAACTGTTGATTTTCCATGAGAGTAGTTAATCTGAAAGAGTCTGCTATAATGCTTATTGCAGCAATGCTGAGAAAAAAATGCATACTTGCAATCTAAAGTGTCAAGATTGTAAAAGCACAAAACAGCCACACGTGAATTTGTGCTTGTGTAGCTAGAATTATTTGTGTTCATTTACTTGGAGAAGGAATGTTTTGGGCCAAATCTCTTCCTCCACAACGTTGAATTCTCAGCTCACTATTTGACACTAGACATTATGAATTATTCATTAAGGTCAAGTTCAAAAACAACAGTCCAATATAACATCTCGAACAGGTTAAATGCCGTAGTTCAAAGTCTTGACACTTACGAATACACATAAGAAAGCTATATTGTGACGACTCTTCCATAGGCAACTCGCGCACAAAAGTCACCCTAATAAGAACAATATTTCTTGCTTTCAGGTGGAATCACTTGACATGCCAGTCTTATGCATAGCATGTGAAGATTGCCCGTTAATAAGAGAGAACAGGTGCAGTGTTTAACATTGAGGTGCACTTCACATTTGCAGATCAACCACTAGATATGAACCACATCAAACTGACCTCTTTTAAAGCTAGTAATCTGATCCGTCTGATGTGATCTAATGTCAGAGCCAATGCAAACTCTTTTAAATTCAAATTTGTGATTACTTGAAAAGGGTATCTAATACAGGTATTCCCTCAGAATGTAAGAAACAAGAATACTGAGGATGATTGTAAAAAAAAAAAGAGAGACTGTTTTGGGGTTTAATGTACATTTTTTAACATAAATAATGCACATGTATATAAAGTCATATGTGTCGTCGTAATATACGTTATTGAATAAAATATATTTATTGATACATTTATTGGTTTACTGATGAATGTGTAAGTATGTTGCCTGATAAAATACAGTCTACAGAATAATAATGCAGAATTATATATATATATATATATATACACACACTAAGCACATCCACAAATGGGAAAGAAACATTTCCACAAATGGATAAGCAGTTCAAACAGGCTAAGAGAAATGGAAATGAATTAGAATTAGAATTAGAAATGGCCTGGTCTGCCTCAGCGGTCTAATAACAGCGTTCATCAATCTGGAAATGACTGAGATGGCCAATCAAATCAAAGGTTTTTTTATTGTACAGAGAAGCTGAATATGATTTTTAGGGCGACACATCCATTTTAATGGGAAGGGGCGTGAGTTAAGATGCAGATTGCCAGTATATAGTTTATCTTTGACAACTGGTTTATGATAGAAAACCCAGGAATGCAAAATTCTCCAGTAAATGGATATATTTTCTCAAGTTTCTTGTGAAGCATTGTGTGAACTGGGTGATCATGAGAAAGTCTTATCAAAACACAGGTCAGATCCTTCAGGCATATACACGGGATCATTAATCATTTAAAGGGGTCATCGGATGCTACATGCACTTTTACAAGTTGTTTGAACTGAAATGTGTGTTGGCAGTGTGTGTACACAACCACCCTATAATGATAAAAATCCACCCAGTGGCCTTTTCTTAATCTGGTTAAATCTTTACCCCTTTCTCAAATCGAGCCGATCTCAGATGCCTGTCTGTGTGACGTCACACAGACAGGCCCCTCCCACAGGCTCGATTTGAGAAAGGGGTAAAGATTTAACCAGTTTAAGAAAAGGACACTGGGTGGATTTTTATCATTATAGGGTGGTTGTGTACACACACTGCCAACACACATTTAAGTTCAAACAACTTGTAAAAGTGCATGTAGCATCCTATGACCCCTTTAATATTTTTGTGAAAACCATGATTTTTATTTTTATTTCAGGATTTTTTGATGAATAAAAAATCAAAAGAACAACATTTTTTAAATAGAAACAATAAATAAATAATAAATAAATTGTTTCTGAAGGGAATGCGCCCCGATCTACATAAACGTGTCTATGTTCTCGCAAATCACTCATGATCCAGCTTCACCTACAGAAGAAGTGAGTATAATGTTTTGTAATGAATCTTTGCAAATCGCCTTTCCTAATAATGTGCTAATTAGCAAGTTTCACGATGAATGCAGCTAAAGTAAACAGTCCCTCAGAGAGCGGCTCAGAAGAGAGGGGCGGGGTCAGCAGAGCTCATTAACATTTAAAGGGAAATGCTACAAAAACGGCTTGATCTGAAAAGAGCTGTTTTTGACAGGGTAAAAAATGTGTTTTTTACACTACCATTGTAAAATTTTAACCAAACTATGTTACAGACTTTTCATTAATACCCTAAAGCAGGGGTGCCCAAACTCGGTCCTGGAGGGCCTGGAGGGCATCCTGCAGAGTTTAGCTCCAACCCCAATTAAACACACCTGAACCAGCTGATCAAGCTCTTACTAGTCATACTAGAAATTTGAAGGCAGATGTGTTGAGGCAAGTTGGAGCTAAACTCTGCAGGACACCGGCCCTCCAGGACCGAGTTTGGGCACCCCTGTCCTAAAGAATCATATCAACTTGTGGAAAATGGGCATCTTATGACCCCTTTAACAAGCCAATTCTTCAGCTTCAGCAGAAATGTCTTTGGGGAAAAAACTCCATAAAATGATTGGTGAAAATGACATGATCTAGGACCTTTATTATTTACGTACCATTGTAAAAACTGTAAGTCTGTCCCTCACAAACAGGTTTCTGTTTTATTTTATATTTAAGACCAAAGCAAGCTTTTCAACTGAATGTCATGTGCTTTTATATATATATATATCATTGTGAAATTTCAAGATTTGTCAAATTATGCAAAATATTTGAAAATAAATGTAAACATTTTTCACATTAAATGCTAGTTATGAAATTAGCCATAGCAACAGTTTTCTTTTTCGACTATTTATTCCATGCTTAATCATTTCATCACCTCTAAAATAGTTGAAAATTGTAGCCTACAGAATCAAAATGTGAAGGTTTGGCCAATGTAGAGTAAAATAACTTAGTTAGAGCAATCGATTTAAAACCCTTCTCGGAATATTTAATAAGGGCAACACACTGAGCACTACATTGTTTAAAATGGTAACCACAGGCTTCCGCGTGGCTAAGCATGCAAGCTACAGTTATTGTCAATTATAAAAGTTATGATAAATATATATTTTTTTATTTATCTAACCGAACGCCTCACATGTGCAATGTAGAGTCTCGCTGCCCTCTGCAGGAAAGATGTGGGAGTAAATAAATAAACATTAGTTTTGAATATGAAATAGAAACAAAACTAGGATTTCAACAAACTTCTACGTCAAATTAACCAACATTTTGAGGCAGGTGTGCGATGCTGCAGCACGTCGTCCACTGCGTCAAACCCGCGGCTCGTGATTGGCTGCCGGCGAGAGAGAGAAGAGGAGACTGAGGAGCTCAGAGCCGCATCAGCAGCAGACACACGCCGCATCCTCATCCTCATCCTCACACAGCAGCGCAATGAGGGAAATCGTACATATTCAGGCCGGACAGTGCGGCAACCAGATTGGTGCCAAGGTAAGATCATATACATCACATAAGGTTTAGTAGATTAGACGTGGAAGCAGTATCTTACTTTTTTTTATTGTAAAATAAAGAATGCAAAGAGTTTTGCGAATCACTTTGCTATAAATTGCAAGAAAATCCTTTAAGTGTTTGTGTTTTATGTGGCATCTTTGATCTGAATGGGTGTGGTGAAGGTCTGCAGTGGCTCTGTGCAGGACTCAGTACATCAGTCAAATGGGAAAACTGCTGCATCATTGAGTAACGACTGTGAATGGACGTGATGTAGCTATTCAGCATTCAGTTGTAAAACATTTTGTGCGTTTCAGTTTTGGGAGGTGATCAGTGATGAACACGGAATCGACCCCACTGGCAGTTATCAAGGTGACAGTGAACTGCAGCTGGAGAGGATAAATGTTTATTACAATGAGGCATCTGGTAAGCAGAGTCAATGATGCTACTGTATATGTCAGTCAGAGTATTTTGATGTGCCAGTCAGTTTTTGATGAGATATACTGTATCCATTTATTAGGTCATGGTTTTGCCAGCTCTGCTCCCTTGACTATTACAGAGGCGAGGCCCATCCGACCGCCGCCTTATAGGCTACATTATAGATTTGTTTAGGTTTCACCCGACTTAATTACTGCCTATCTTTTTGTCCACGGTTTGCTTAAAAGATGACAAATTTGGCTTGCATTTCTGTGGTTTTAAACATCAATCCGTCATAACCCTATGTGAATGCATTAACATTGTGGGATATTAGCACAATCATTCAACAATACCCAGATGTGCTTTTATGGTTGAGAAAACCGTTTATCTGTAGCTGCTGTTGTCCTCGAAAGGGAAGGGAAGATGGATGATGTTGCACTTATTTAAAGAGGGTCAGCATTTACTATACAGACATCTTACCAAAGTAGTAAAGAAATAAATTATGCATACATTAAATTCATTTATAATTAGCTATATGTATTACATGCACCAACTGTCAAATTAAATTCACTTGTATACATTTTCTAATTCATGAACATGAAACTGAATCTGTTTTTTTTAGATTGGATGTTTCAACCTTTGGATGTTTACACCAAGCCTATTTTATTTCACAGAAAGCAAATTTGTCCCTCGTGCCATCCTGGTGGACCTGGAGCCTGGCACCATGGACTCGGTCCGCTCTGGCCCATTTGGACAAATCTTCAGGCCGGATAATTTTGTGTTTGGTATGTTTATTACACATTCTTAATCCCATTATTAATCCTGTACAAATACAAGAGGCCGAAGACTTAGACAACAAAGAAAGGATATTTATTGTTTTATCAAATAATAAACTGGGCCTAAAGATGCCGCGAGTGATGAAAAAGCACCATAAAAGCAGCCAATAAAATGTGTGTGCAATATTCCATATCTTCTAAAGCTTTAGAACAGCACAAGATGAGAAACAGACTGCTTGTTATTCACTGAAAATCCTACACTGCCATTGCTCTAAACCCTCAGTCATGCTTGCATTCAATCCCATTATTGTACATGCATAGCAAAAAAACAAAAAAAAAAGCATCTTGACCACATCAGCAATGCAGTGATTTTTCTGTCTATGTCGTGGACTCCTGCACAAACAACAGCACATGCTAGTAATTGAGTACTCAAATTGAAGGATCCACTAGATAGTGTGCATGCACTGAATGCATCCATCCACACACACTGTCAGTTAAGTATACTTTCAAAGACTTAAGGCTCAGATATACTTAAGCGAGATCCAAGAACAAATGGATGCATACATTTTTAACTAAAGGGGTCATATGATGCGATTTCAAGTTTTCCTTTCTCTTTGAAGTGTTACAAGCTGATTGTGCATAGA